TCTTCATATGTCTCTTGGCCATTTGTATGTCCTGTTTGGAGAGGTGTCTATTCAGCTCCTCTGCCCATTTTTTAATTGGGTTCTTTGTCTTACTTTTGTTGAGTTGTATAAGAACTCTATATATATTGGAAATTAACCCCTTATCTGATACATCATTGGCAATGATGTTCTCCCATACAGTGGGTTGCCTTTCCATTTTGATGATTGTTTCTTTTGCTGTGCAGAAGCTTTTTAGTTTGATGTAGTCCCATGTGTTCATTTTTTCCTTTGTTTCTGTTGCCTTAGGTGATGTATCAGTGAAAATTCTGCTCCGTATGATGTGCGAAATTTTGTCGCCTACATTTTCTTCTAGAAATTTTATAGATACACGGGTCACATTTAAGTCTTTTATCCATTTTGAGTTTATTTTTGTGTATGGTGTAAGTTGATGGTCTAGTTTCATTTTTTTGCATGTAGCTGTCCAATTTTCCCGACACCATTTATTAAAGAGGCTGTCTTTACTCCACTGTATGCTCTTGCCACCTTTGTCAAATATTAATTGAGCGTATTGTGTTGGGTCCATTTCTGGGTTTTCAGTTCTGTTCCACTGGTCTATATGCCTGTTCTTGTGCCAGTACCAGGCTGTTTTTGTTACAGTCGCTTTGTAGTATAACCTGATATCTGGTATTGTGATCCCACCTACTTTGTTCTTCTTTTTCAAGATTGCTGTGGCTATTGGGGGTCTTTTTTGGTTCCATATGAACTTTTGAAGTATTTGTTCTAGTTCTATGAAATATATCGTTGGTATATTGATGGGGATTGCATTGAATCTATAGATTGCTTTGGGTAGTATGGACATTTTAATTATGTTAATTCTTCCAATCCATGAACAGGGTATGTGCTTCCACTTTTTTATATCTTCCTCTATTTCTTTTTTCAATGACCTGTAGTTTTCTGCAAATAGGTCCTTTATTTCTTTGGTTAAGTTTATTCCTAGGTATCTTAATTTTTTTGGCGCGATGGTAAATGGGATTGTTTTTTCCGTTTCTCTTTCTGTGAGTTCATCATTGGTGTACAAGAATGCCGTTGATTTCTTGACGTTAATTTTGTATCCTGCTACTTTACCAAATTCATTTATTAAGTCTAGTAGATTTTTGATGGAGTCTATAGGGTTTTCTATGTATAATATCATGCCATCTGCAAATAATGACAGTTTCACTTCCTCCTTTCCAATTTGAATCCCTTTTATTTTTTCTTCATGTCTGATTGCTGTGGCTAAGACTTCCAGTACAATGTTAAATAAGAGTGGCGAAAGTGTACATCCCTGTCTTGTTCCTGTTCTTAATGGGAATGTTTTTAGTTTCTGTCCATTGAGTATGATGTTGGCTGTAGGTCTTTCATATATGGCCTTTATTATGTCGAGATATGATCCCTCTATTCCCACATTGCTGAGGGTTTTTATCAGAAATGGATGCTGGATTTTGTCGAATGCTTTTTCAGCATCTATTGATATGATCATGTGGTTTTTATTCTTCATTTTGTTTATGTGGTGTATCACATTTATTGATTTGCGAATATTGTACCAGCCTTGCATCCCTGGAATGAATCCCACTTGGTCATGATGAATAATTTTTTTGATGTATTTCTGGATCCGATTTGCTAATATTTTGTTCAGGATTTTGGCGTCTATGTTCATCATGGATATTGGCCTGTAGTTTTCTTTCTTCGTAGTGTCTTTTTCTGGTTTTGGAATTAGAATTATGCTGGCCTCATAGAACGTGTTTGGAAGTCTTTCTTCTTCTTGAATTTTTTGAAATAGTTTGAGGAGAATGGGTGTTAGTTCTTTTTTGAATGTTCGGTAAAACTCTGCCGTGAAGCCATCTGGACCTGGGCTTTTGTTTGCTGGGAGAGTCTTGATTACCTCTTCAATTTCCTTAGTTGTTATTGGTCTGTTCAAGTTTTCTATCTCTTCCGGGAATTGTTTTTGGGAGACTGTGTTTTTCTAGAAATTTGTCCATTTTGCTTAGATTGTCAAATTTGTTGCCATATAGTGTTCATAGTAGTTGTTAACAATCTTTTGTATTTCCGTGGTGTTGGTTGTTACTTCTCCTCTTTCATATCTGATTTTGTGTATTTGGGTTCTCTCTCTTTGTTTCTTGGTGAGTCTAGCTAAGGGTCCATCAATCTTGTTTATCTTTTCGAAAATCCAGCTCTTTGTTTCATAGATCCTTTGAATTGTTTGTTTGGTCTCTATGTCATTTATTTCTGCTCTGATCTTTACTATTTCCTTCCTTCTACTTGCTCTGGGGTTTTCTTTTTGTTTGCTTTCTAATTCTTTAAGTTGTGAGGTTAGACAGTCAATTAGAAATTTTTCTGGTTTCTTGAGGTAGGCCTGTAGTGCTATGAACTTCCCTCTCAGGACTGCTTTTACTGCATCCCATAGATTTTGTGTTGTTGTGTGTTCATTTTCATTGGTTTCCAGGAAGTTTTTAATTTCTTCCTTGATCTCCTCGGTGACCCATTCATTGTTTAATAACATGCTATTTAGCCTCCATGTGTTGAAATGTCTTTGCATGTTCTTGTTGCAATTGATTTCTAGTTGCATGCCATTGTGATCTGAGAAGATGCTTGATATGATTTCTATCTTCTTGAACTTGTAGAGATTTAGTTTGTGTCCTATCATGTGGTCTATCTTTGAGAATGTCCCATGTACACTTGAGAAGAATGTGAATTCTGTAGTTTTGGGGAGTAATTCTTTGTAGATATCTATTAAATCCATTTGGTCTAGTGCTTCATTTAGAGTCTCTGTTTCCTTGCTAATTTTTTGCCTAGAGGATCTATCCAGTGGTGTCAACGGGGTGTTGAAGTCCTCTGCTATGATTGTATTGTTGTTGATTTCCCCTCGGAAGTCCTCCAGAAGATATTTAATATATTTTGGTGCTCCTATATTGGGTCCATATATGTTTATCAAGGTTATATCTTCCTGTTGGATAGATCCTTTCAATATTATGTAGTGGCCGTCTTTGTCTCTAGTTATGGTCTTCATTTTGAAATCTATTTTATCAGATATGAGAATTGCTACCCCAGCTTTTTTTTGCTTTCCATTTGCTTGGAAAATTTTTTTCCATCCCTTCACTTTCAACCTATGTGAGTCTTTTGTTGTGAGGTGGGTCTCTTGTAAACAACATATAGATGGGTCATGCTTTCTTATCCAATCAGCTACTCTGTGTCTTTTTATGGGAGCATTCAATCCATTTACTTTTAAGGTGATTATTGATATGTACTTATTTATTGCCATTTTTGTTTAGTGTGGTTCTATTTTCCTTCTATTTCTACTGCTAATTATAGCAGTCCTTTTAACATTTCTTGCAGTGCTGGTTTGGTGCTAATGTATTCCCTTAGCCTTTTTTTGTCTGGGAAGCTCTTTATTTGATCTTCTATTTTGAATGATAGCCTTGCTGGGTAGAGTAGTCTTGGATTCAGATTCTTGTTTTTCATGACTTTAATTACTTCATGCCATTCTCTTCTAGCCTGTAGTGTTTCTTGTGAGAAGTCAGCTGAGAGCCTTATGGGGTTCCCTTTGTAGGTAACCTGTTGCTTATCTCTTGCTGCTTTTAGGATTCTCTCCTTGTCTTTAATTTTTGCATTTTAATTATTATGTGTCTTGGTGTGGGCCTTTTTGGGTTCTTCTTACTTGGGACTCTCTGTGGTTCTTGAACTTGAATGCCTTCTTCCTTCACCAAATTGGGGAAGTTTTCTGTCATTTTTTTTTTTTTTAATATATTCTCTATCCCTTGCTCATTTTGTTCTTCTTCAGGGACCCCTATGATGCGAATATTATTACATTTCCAGTTGTCCCATAGTTCTCTTAAGCTGTCTTCCTGTTTTTTAATAGTTTTTTCCTTTTGTTTTTCTGATTGGTTGATTTTTTCTATCCTGTCTTCTAATTCACTGATCCGGTCCTCAGCTTCCTCTACTCTGCTTTTTAAACCTTCTAATGTGTTTTTCATTTCTGATATGTCATTTTTTATCTCTTCTTAATGGTTTTGAATTTCCAATTGGCTTATTTTCAGTGTCTCTATGTCCTTACTCATGCTGTTCAGCTTCCTCAAGATCATGGCTCTGAATTCTAGCTCTGTTAACATGCGTAATTGCTCCACATTGATCTCATCTTCAGTGGAGGTCTCTTGCTCTTTCATTTGGCTCTTCTGTTTCTGTGTTTCACCATTTTGGCTATCACTGTGGGCTTTGGAGCCTAAGTTTTCCCTGTGGGTGTTGGTGTTCTGCTGTTTGTGGCTCCCTCTCTGTGGTGAGGGAGGACCCACGTTAAACACCACTGTCAAGTCTTACTTTCCTGGTTAAAGTTTCCAACCCAGGAAAGGTACTGTTATCCTCTAGCTTTTTGCCTGGAGGCTAGCAGTCCAGGTTACTTGATGAGTTTTAGGTTGTCAGTTGATTGAAAAGCTCCCTCAGGTGCTTAGCGCAAGGGGATTTCCCGAGGGTGGGGCAGATGCTGGTTGTTAGTGAGCGTCAATTAGCACTTCAATGGCCCACAGGGTGGGGTTGGATCTCTGAGCCAGGGGCTGCTGCCTCTCCCCAGAGCCCTGGGAAGGAGCAATATGCCCACTGTCCTGTGTAGCTGCACTCAGCAAAAGCTCTGAACGCCCCACAAATCCCAAGTGTCCCGACACAGTTCCAGTCCAGTCTGCCCTCCCTCTGCCGGAGCCCAAGGTGAGTGGCTGTGGCTGTTTCAGCCTCTGTCCCAGCTGCGCTGTGGAGCTGCTTGGGAGTGTGACCCGAGGGCGCAGCTCCCAGCTAAGGCCGCTGCTGAGCCACTGACCGCTGACCGTGGGCTCCCAGCCCCATCTCGCGCCTTTGCAAGCCTACCGGGATGGAGTCAGTGTCCCTCGTTGTATGGTCCTCGCAAGCTGCTTTTCTGTTGGTTTTTCCCGTCGATTTGTCTGTGTTATAGTTGTAATTCCAGTTTGGTTCTGGGAGACGGTCGTGTAGCTTCCATTCACTCCGCCGCCATTTTTCCTTCTCCTATACTTCTTGATAGTGGAAGTAGTTATGAGACATTTGTCAAAATTTAGCAAGCTGTACACTTAAAATGGGGGAATTAGATTGAATGTAAATTATACCTTAATAAGGCTGATTTTAAAATTGGGCCCAAATCAGCAGATGCCCTCATGACAAAAGCAACTTCCATAATCCTCTTGTTTTTCTAGGTTCCCTTCTTTTTCTAGCCTACTGATACCTTAGTACAATGTCAACTCTGGAGGGTCGGTCCCAATGCCCTGGCTCCACCACCAGAAATGAGAGTCGGCCATTGACTCTCTTAATGGAGTGTCTCTAAGAGGAGATGAGGCATGGATGTCAGGCCCTCAGGAGAGTGGGAGGAAGGGGAGGGTTTGGATTGTAATGAGGGTTCTTTCCTTGGTTTCCTTCTTTTGTCATGTATGTAAATCATTAAGGCTAAGCCTCCTGATATAATTTCTTTGGTTCAATTTAGAAACAGGTATTCATTTCTCAGTGACAATAAATATGTCAAGAACTGGATGTAGGAGTCAAATGACCAGATTTTAGAACTGCATCTGTGTGACTTTGAAGAAGTAAACAAGTTGTTTAACTTCTCTTCGTTTCAATATCATCCTTCAAAAAAGGGGGGGGGGGGGGCGGGTAATAATTCCTAAAGTGCTTCCAATAAAATCACAGGTTCTAGAGAAAAGACCCCTACAAAATTACTATTCTTCTTTCATTGCCTAAAATTGTTCATTTGCTTTCTACTCAGAACTTCAAAATCATGTCTGTAAAACTTTAGTGCCCAATTATACTCAGTTCAGTAGATATAATATACAATCATACCTGTCTGTCTAGCACTTAGTTCTCTTGACTTCTGAATTCTCCAGAATAAAACCAAGGATCAGTGGAAGTTCTAAAACAAGGAAGAAAAGAGGGACTCTGAGCAGCCCATTCAAAGACTGAAAATTTTCTTAGAAGAAGAAACCTATAGGCTTACTTAAGGTTAATTTGGGGTGTATTTTACATCCAAATCTGATAAGATTAATTAGTTGTTCTCAAATTCATGCTAGATAATCATCAGCAAATTAAAAGGTACATTGACAAACCAATTACAAGGGAGGAGATAGAAAAACCATAAAACATAGGTATAGTAAAATACAAATAATTCTAGTGTAGAAAATAAACTGTCCTATACACATACTTTAATAGGTCTTGAGAGGGAACTGCTATATTGGAGCTAAGTACAACCAGTAATGTTCATTAATATACTATCTTATGTTTTAAGGAAAAATCTCTCAGATGTGCAGACAACTGTATGGATTCTCCAGAATGACTAAACATTTGACAGTTCTGGAAAGCTGATGTTTACTATAGTATATTTTATTTAACAGCTGTTTCATATGTGTAATGTTGTGTTCTTAACTATACTGAAGTTCCCTGCAGGAAAGGCCAGGTCATATACTTTTCTGTGCCTCCCCTACAACCATCTTTGTCTGTACCATGAGATTAATGACACCACCTTCACATGAGGGTAGTTTAGGTAAAGAACCCAAGTGACTAGACAGAGTCTGGCACATAGCTGATGTTCAGTGAATGTTGGTCGAATGAATGATGTTAATGCATTATGCAGCTCAAGGAGTATTTGAATTATTGACTTAGGGATCCCTATGTCTTCTTCAAACCTTCATTACATGCTTAGGCTGCTGTGTTTTTTCTCCCCCAATGTTACTAATCCTCCTCCCTACTCAATTAAGATAATCTCTGAAATCCTACAAATGTCCAAAGACTATCTGAAAAGGTCTGATGGCTTCTCTTCAATCCCATGAGAAGTGAATTCCAAACTTCCACAGCCTCCGTCCCAATGCTCTGCTCAAAATACTCTTGCTCCCCACACTCAAAATGTCTCATATTTGACGTGACTAGTTTATAGACTGGATTTAATATTTATATTTTATTTTATCTTTTCTCCTATGCACACATCAGATGGTTGTCTTGAATTGCAGATGTTGTTGTCTTGGTGGAACATGTCTTTGTAATGAATTTTACAGTTTCCTGTAGGCAACTGAGTGTTTAAAAATACCTTAAGAAATATGAATTAGGGAGTGAAGGATTCAAGTACTTCCAAAGGAATATTTTCATTGGATGCTTTTCTACAACAAAATAATTTAGAATGGAAAAAGTAGGGTACTAATTTGTGATGAACTCTTCTGTTATGTGTGGGACAGGTCTGCTATGTACCTCTTACATGGCTAATGTGGGATTTGGGACGTAGAGGTGTCAACGTGATAGAAACCAAGAGTATTTAATATATTTAATTTGTCTTTGCATAACTATGATAATAAAACATGTTTTTCATCTTGGAGAATTGAAGAAAATGAAAAAATGACCCATATTCCCACCACCCTGAACAACTATTGGTATAGACTTCAGAAGTGCTGTTTGAGTATAGAACCTATGTAGAGAACCCAGTCCCTTCCGGAGAAGAACTGTAAATTTCAGCGAGGGAGACAAGAGCTCCACAGTTGAAGTAGCTGCAAAGCTGGGTGAAACCTTGTACAACCAAGCACCAAATTGAGCATTTACAAAGGAGAGAAAATAGAGCCTACAGAATCTTTGCCTCAAAAAGTGCTTCAGGATACTATGCCCAAAGTATGAGAAAATGTCCAAAAAACAAAACTCTATTTCAGTTACCTGCTAGTTGAATAACAGGCACTGAGGAAATGGTCCCAGTATCATTAAAACCCACTGACCAGGTGGGAGACAAGGATTCTTAGCCCGTCAACTATGATGTAAGAAAACCTTCAAACAAGTTGGGTTATCAGAAGTTGCAAAGCTTTATTATGATTATACCCCCAGCATAGAAATGGCTTGACACCTCTGTAGAGTCATGGTCAAAACAAACTCTAAGCTAGGCCTGATCATTTGGGCAGATACTAAAACACACACCAACCTTGAGCACATTAAGTCCTCGCTGTTCTCCAAGAACAAACGACAGCCTGCGAAAAACAAGCAGTCAGCACATTTGTGCTGGGAAATTCTTAAAACGTGCACTTTATCTGTGCAAGGTATGTTACCAAATGTCCCCACTCAATGCAAAGCTCTTCCACCTCGATGCTGGGCTCCATTCTCTTTTTGTGATATGGTGTGGCAGCTGCTTTTCCCAGGCACAAGAGTTTCAATTAGTCAAGTTCTTTTTATTTATACCTGCAGTTTCTAGTTTTGAAAATTTAATTCCACGTAGCTTAAATTTTATTTTCATCACTTAAATCAAGTTTAAAAACTAACAAGTCAACAAATTTCCATTCTAATGTTGCTAATTAACTGGCCTACTAATATCTCTAAAATTCTTTCCAAGTCACAAAGATTATGAATTACTCTGGGATTCTAGAACATTCAGTAAAAAGTGATTTTCTCTAAATACCTAGAATAGAACTCAATCATCAAATTTTCTAGCCGTACAGCCTTAGAGATTACTCAGTCCCATTTCTTCATTTTAGGCTTGAGATTCTAAGAGATCAAGAGATTGACAGCCCGGCCATCCCATGGTCTGAGAGGTCCCGGTTCAGTTCCGGGTCAGGGCACATGCCCAGGTTGCAGGCTCAATCCCCTGTAGGGGGCATGCAGGAGGCAGCTGTTCAGTGTTTTTCACAGCGATGTTTCTCTCTCTCCCTTCCTCTCTCTCTAAAAAATTAATAAAAATATATTTTTTAAAAAAGGGAGAGCCTGGCGGGTGTGGCTCAGTGGTTGAGCATCAACCCCTGCACCAAGAGGTCGCTGGTTCGATTCCCAGTCAGGGCACATGCCCAGGTTGTGGGCCAAATCCCCAGTAGGGGGCATGCAGGAGGCTCTCTCATTGATGTTTCTATCTCTCTCTCTAAAAATCAATAAAGAAAATTTTTTTTGTTGTTGTTTTTTCTGACTGAGAATAAAGTAAACTCTGCTGAAAGCAGAATCAAGAGACAGATTTGGAGAGATTCTTTACAATTTTAGGCACCTGGATCTAACTGTGCCTGAAGCTAACCCTGCTGATCATCTTGGATGAACCAGAACATACCCATTTTCTAGTTAAGTCAGTTTGAATTGGGCTGAGTTTTGCCACTTGTCATAATATAGTATATTAATTCATCCCCTGAGAAGTAGTATAAGAGGGTTCTCACCAGAGAAAGACATTAAACAAAAGACAGGTGAACAGGAAGACAGATGATCTCTGTTAGGAACTTTCTTCCACCTCTTCTCAGGGCAGGGCCAGCCCATTCCTCCCTGCCGGAAGCTGTCCTGTGTCTGATGCCGCTAGGGCAGGGTGACAGTTCCAGAAAGGCTGCAAATATTACAAAACATCTGGGGCAGATGGCATTGTTCCCAATTGACATTTTTGCTTCCCTTGACTCCTGCATTTTCGCTTTTATTTAAGGCTGTGTTCAATGTTGTAACTACTTTTTAATCGATAACACATCTGTGTCTGGGGCGTGTGTCTTCCTGCCGTGGCTGGACTTCTCAGTGTTAACAAACCCTGGCACGTTGCTGGGAGGCTTCCACTAAAATATTGCCATAAACAAAAAGAAGGCAAATTAGAAATTGGTAAATAACTGTAAATTACATTGATTTCTTGGGGAGTTATGTCTTACATCTGCGTTTGGGACAAGTGAGTTCACCATGAGTAATTGGCCTGGAGTGAGCGCCCAGGGAGGAAGGAGGGCAAGGTTCAGTCTTTCCGAAGATAGTGAGGTGTAGCAGGGTAGAGAGGGTGGCATGTCTTCATGAAACCAGACAAGAAATGGGTCCGGGCCGCCTGTTACTACTTGAGGCCGTTAAGCAGAGACAAGGCTGAATCATATATGAGCATTTATTCCAATATTGCTGGCAGTAGGGGAGAGCAGTGGGCCGTCCTGTAAAATCTGCTCTGCCCCCCCCTCACTTGCCAGCTGCTTTTAAAGGGGAGAGAAACAATGACAGGCAAGGGGGGAGGAATGTGGGCTGGGGCTGCAGGGGCTGGTCACCAGTGAGTCACAGTCACAGGTCCAGTGTCCCGATAATCTGGTTGTTAATTTTTCCATGATGTCCTATAGTCCCCCTTGTCCTCAGACTAATAGAATGGACAGCATTCCTGAGGTAAGCTCTGGAGGCACACACCTCCCAGCCAGGTCAGAGTGGGCTTTTCCTTGTGAGAACAAAGCAATCATGATTAACATCATAAAGAATGATTAACATTTTTCTAACTATGGCTAGTGCCCCACTATGATTAGTTTACCTACTCTTCTAAGATTTTCTATTAATTCTGATATTCCTTCCTGCCCTTTCTCTAACAGCAGGGGTTTTGGCATCAGTCTGACTTCCATTCAAATCCCTGTTCTGCCGCTTCCTCGTGCGTGCCCTTGGCCCAATCACTCCCTCACCAAGCCTCTGTCTCCTTGTCTGTAAATGGGGATCATAACAGTACACAGTTAACTTGTCTTGAAGTTGCTTTAAGGATTAAATGTGATAATGAATATTACCTGCTTAGCATAACTTCACTCACAGAATAGTAATGAATATGATTTTGCACAAGAGTCTTTGTGACAGGATGTTAAAATCGAGGTTTCAGTTAGGCACCAAGATAAAACAGACTGTAATTTCAAAGTGAGGTCAATTCGCTGTATGCAGACAGAAAATAATTTTTTTTAAAAAAAGAGAGAAATTGACAAATAACATAGATGTTAGTGGGAGAATCCCTACACGGTTCCACCTTCGTGAACACTCAGCTGACATTTGTTGAAGGTCTTGCCTATGTCAGGAACTTACATGTCCTTGACGCTGGATTTACCAAGACGGACAAACCTCTCAAGGAGTTCACATTCAAGTAGGTACAGATCACTCATAGTTAGATCTTGGGAAAATGTTAAATATTTTACACTTTTGTTCGTTAAGAAAAAACCCAGATCTTCTACCCAAACAACTCTTACTTCAACTCAACCATGTCCACTTCAGGAGGTAGCCATAATGTGCTTCAGATCTTAAAACCTAACGGGGGTTGTCATTCTGGCAATGTGAATTATCCAGGTGTCTAGGCCATGAGGTTGTGCAAGAAAGTAAAGTGGTTTCCATAAGAAAATGTTCACTGGATGAATTTCCATTTAACAACTAGTGCCCTCCTTGCTCAGCACTGGTGTTGTTTCATTCTTGGGGGTCACATCTTTCTTTTAAATCCTCACCTGATGATATTTTTCTATTTATCTTTAGATAGAGTGGGAGAGAAGGAGAGAGAGAGAAACATTGACGTGAGAGAGACACATCCATTGGTTGCCTCCCATAGGACCCAACCAGGGCCAGGGACGAACCACAACCGAGGTACGTGTACTTGACTGGAATAAACCCACGACTCATTGATTCGTGGTCAACACTCCAAACGCTGAGCCAAATCGGCCTGGGCATCTGGGGGTCATATCTTTGTGGGTCAGTCTTTCCCAGATCATTTTAAATGTCGTCACCATTCAAACTGGTTGCAAATCAAATAGAAAATCTTCCTGAAAGAATTGATAAAATTAATTAAATTGAAGTAAGAACTGCTCAGTCACATGCAAACTGTTGATAAATGAGAAGCTGCTAGAAATAAAATGATTAATGGAAGAAAATTGCAAGAATGGTGGCATAAAGGTTATTTCCAAAAATAATGGTCTGAGTATCCTTAACTTAAGAGAAGACCTTGAAAAAAAAATCAGTGAAATTCTTGAATGTTTTTTCAAAATTAATCCTTTTTGTAATTGTAGAATTAAATGCAAGCAAAAAGTGGAGAACACTGTGTTATGCCAGTGTATACTTTTTCCAGAAAAATCACACACCAAAAGCAAAGAAAAAACATGCTCTGGCACGTTTGGCTCAGCGGTTAGAGTGTCCATCTGTGGACCAGAGAGTCACAAGTTTGATTCCCAGTCAAGGGCACGTACCTCGGTTGTGGGTTTGATCCCTGGCCCTGGTTGGGGTCTTGCAGGAAGCAACCAACTGATGTGTCTCTCTCACAGTGATGTTTCTCTCTCTCTCTTCCTCCCTCCCTTACAGTCTATCTAAATATCAATTTTTTTAAATGTCCTTGGGTGAGTATAAAAAAGAAAAAGAAAACAACCACAGTTTTAATTTAAATATATATTTAATATACAAAATAAGATAAACTTATTTTTAAGAGTTTTGTTTGATTCTTCAAGATATAGCCCCTATCACTTCTTAATTTGGGCATTTGTTGCCAATTTCAGGCAGGTTTTGTAACCACAATTTTCAGTGATGAAGATGAGCTGCAATCGTAGGGATGAAGGATTGAGGCCCAGAAAGTGCAGCAGACTTTCTAAGGTCACACAGCTGGTCCTGGCAGTATCGCCAGGTTCTCCCATCACGCAGAATCGCTCATCTCTGCAGAGGGAATGCATCTGCCTTGCACTCGACATGGCTTTTCAGTCCCAGTAAGCATTTGATGGCAGGAGAAGCAGCAAAAGACACTGAGGAAAGATCTTACGGAATATTAAATAAAATTTGTTTCCCCTTCACTTTAGCTAAAGAATGACATGTCTAAAACTGATTGTAATTCTAAATGTACATTCAAGGGATAAGACATGCCCATTGTAAAGTGTGTTCTGGTGCAATTAAGAGACATACTTAAGATGGGATTAATCTTGATTATTCTGTTTAGGGTTCTTTAAAGAGAGCTTACACAGAGGAAAGCATAGACCCCCCGGCACTCCTGCTGCCTCGTTGCCTCCAGCAAGTGACAAAATAAAGTAAAAGGGGTTCCAAGGTGCTAAGAACTGAATGCTTGTGTCCCCCTCAAATTCATATGTTGGAGCCCTAAACTCCAATGTGATGGTATTTGGAGGTGGGACCTTTGGGAGGCGTTCAGGGTTAGATGAGGCTATGATGGGATACTCTTGGAAGAAAAGAGAGAGACGACCAGTATGTGTTCTCTCTGTCTCTCCCTCTTTCTCACCCCCCCCCCCCCCGCCCCACCATGTGAGGACACGGAGATAAGATGGCCA